CTCAGTTACGGTAACTCAAACAGTTACTCAGTGACAGTAACTCAAACAGTTACTCAGTTACAGTAACTCAAACAGTACCTCAGTTACTCAGTGACAGTAACTCAAACAGTTACTCAGTGACAGTAACTCAAACAGTACCTCAGTTACTCAGTGACAGTAACTCAAACAGTTACTCAGTTACAGTAACTCAAACAGTACCTCAGTTACAGTAACTCAAACAGTTACTCAGTTACAGTAACTCAAACAGTTACTCAGTGACAGTAACTCAAACAGTTACTCAGTTACAGTAACTCAAACAGTACCTCAGTTACTCAGTTACGGTAACTCAAACAGTTACTCAGTGACAGTAACTCAAACATTACCTCAGTTACTCAGTTACGGTAACTCAAACAGTTACTCAGTGACAGTAACTCAAACATTACCTCAGTTACTCAGTTACGGTAACTTAAACAGTAACTCAAACAGTTACCTCAGTTACTTAGTTACGGTAACTCAAACAGTTACTCAGTGACAGTAACTCAAACATTACCTCAGTTACTCAGTTACGGTAACTCAAACAGTTACTCAGTTACTCAGTGACAGTAACTCAAACAGTTACTCAGTTACAGTAACTCAGACATTACCTCAGTTACTCAATTACGGTAACTCAAACAGTTACTCAGTGACAGTAACTCAAACATTACCTCAGTTACTCAGTTACGGTAACTCAAACAGTTACTCAGTTACTCAGTGACAGTAACTCAAACAGTACCTCAGTTACTCAGTTACGGTAACTCAAACAGTTACTCAGTTACTCAGTGACAGTAACTCAAACAGTTACTCAGTTACAGTAACTCAAACAGTTACTCAGTTACAGGAACTCAGTTACAGGAAGTCAAACAGTAACTCAGTTACTGTTATGTTTTACCGTTGGTGGGGCCAGAACAAGCCCTGAAACGTTGTACTCAAGAATAAAGAAGAAGTAACTCTCCAAAAATCTCTATGTTCATCAAATATATAGCATCTTCTCAAGCTTCAAATGCCAATCAAGCGACAGAAATATGTTTATATTCCCATCATTAGCTTTGCTTCAGGGCAAACAAATTGAGGCCATGGATGTTGAGTAATTCTATCCTTGTAGGCATGTCCAGATTACTGGACAACACGAAGACGTTAAACTTTTTAAGGGGAACCCAACACCATTGGCCCCTTCTCTTTTACGCGACTTATCTATTGGCTGAAAGCGATCACAAACAATATTGATGGAAATGCCTGGTTGTCGTGATGAATCCACGACACGCAAGGATTCGAACCCATGTGTTTGGACAGACGAACGACACTTGAACAACTTCACTACTTTTAACACTCTTTAAGGACCTGAAATAGAGCTTCGTGTTTCTTGTCTCCATCGAAAAGTGTTTAACACATTGTCACTGCATGGGTAACTGTAACGCCGTCAGATAGCTCCCTGGAAACATTATCACTGCATGGGTAACTGTAACGCCGTCAGATAGCTCCCTGGAAACATTATCACTGCATGGGTAACTGTAACGCCGTCAGATAGCTCCCTGGAAACATTATCACTGCATGGGTAACTGAAACGCCGTCAGATAGCTCCCTTGAAACTAAGCTGCAATATTATCTTAAGCAAAAGAGAGGAGTCAAAACGAACGAACGAGCCCTTCGAAAACAAGCAAACTAAGTGATAAACATTTCCGAGAGTGTCGACGAATATCTTATAGTCTTAAAACGTTCCCTTTCTGGATTTTATCATATTTGTTTCCTTTTTTCTTTTGCTTACAGCACATTTAATGAAATATGTTTAATGTGTCCCGATTTAATTAATTTCTGTAACGTCAAAAAATAACGTCATCCACAAGTCTGCAGTTAGTGAAATCTTACACCTTTGAGTGAGCGAGTGAATGTGAGTGAGCTTATTTATATGCCGCTTTTAGCAATATTCCAGCAATATCACGACGGGGACACTAGATATCTAGACCGCTCAGAATAACAGATATACCAATAGTTAAAAAAAAGTATTTTCAGGAAGGTGGACCAACAAGATGAATTTATGCGAGCACGATTTATAAAAGCATCCAGCCAACAGCAGGCCAACATATGATGGACATGGACTTATCGTGGATAAATTTCAAACGCTTGATTTCTTGTATTGTATCTCAGACATCTGTGGATTCGAACCCAAGTGTTTGGACAGACGAAAGACACTTGAAAAACTACACCAACACCCTTTAAGGACCGCCTCCGTGGTGTAGTGGTTAGAGCGTCCGCCCGGAGAGCGGAAGGTCGCGGGTTCGATCCCCGACCGCGTCAAACCAAAAGACGTTAAAATTTGGTACTTGTTGGTCACTGCCTGGCGCTCGGCATTAATGGGTACAACAAGGACTGGTCGGCTCGGAGTCAGTATAATGTCTCTGAGTGGGGTATTCATGCTTCACTGCGGCATGGTATCTCAGTGGGCTAGCACTATAAAACCAGCTTAAGTCTGGGCTAGTACAAGCAACCGCACATACACATACACACGCATGCACGTCGTCATATGAGCGAAATATTCTCAAGCACGACGTAAAACCCAATTTCACCTCACCTCACCTCACCCTTTAAGGGTCTGATATGAAGCTTCGTGTTGCTTGCCTCCATGCAACCATTTTAACACGCTATCATTGCATGGTTAACTGTAAAACTGTCATATTCTTCCCAAAAACAAGACTTCGTTATTTTGTTAAGGATAAGAGGAAAGTTGAAACGCGCACGTGAAAGCTTCAATGTAAACAAACTGATAAACTTTTCTGAAAAGTCACATGTCGACAAATATCTTATAATGTGGTTTCACTTTCTGGATTTAATCATATCGGGTTTTTGCTGCTTAGAGAACTTTTCACGGTAACACTGTAATGTGTTCCACTTTATTTAATTTGTTTAACATGAAAAACTAACACCATCCACAAATCCAAAAATAAGGAAACGTTAGATGGTTGGGAAATAACAGAGACAGTAACGTTTACAAACCTTTGTCAGGAAAGTGTTTCGACTAACACAAGATGGGGTTTTATGGGAACATGATTTATGAAAACATCCTTTGTCAAACATTTCGTATTTTATGTTTAAGCCCTTCAATCACACGGGTTATAAGGCTGCACGATTACCATGGTTTTAGGATATGTTTTGTTAGGCTGGGCGCGGCGATGACGTCGACAGATAACGCTGTAGTTGTGGCGGTGGAGTTGCTGCTCCTGTGCTGTAACGCACGCCGCGGTAGCGAACCATCTCGTTATACAAACAAGGTAGCCTATGAATTGGTAAAAACTCCTCTTCGTGGGTGCATCTGTGTTATGTTCGTTGTTTTCTTACACATCTGTGGTTCTTTTTTATAGGTGTCAGCCTCCATATACCTGCCGTGGTATAATTATGGGTCTTTTATGTTGCTGATTTATGACGTAGGTATGTTGTGTATTTGAGCTTTTTGTACACTATGTGTATTGAGATACTAAGCGACAAAAGAAACAATACCTCGGACATGATTTCTTGATATGTTGCATTTCCAGTGTTTAGACATCTTATGTATGAAAATCAATAAATTTGCATTTTTGGCACTAATTTAGAGGTCATGTGGTGACAAAATCATTTTTTGACCCAAATACAAACCGCCACCATATAGCTGGAATATTGCAGAGCGCGGCGTTAAACAACAAACAAACAAACAAACGTTATGTTAACCCATTTATTTTCAGTTGCCCCGTCACAGGTCACTTTTTACAAACTGTATCGGAAGGAGTGATGTTTAAATCCATATCAAATTTAACAACAGATCTTTCAATTTTCAAACTTTACTTCATCACTTCGGGCTTCCTCTCACACCCAGTGAGCTCGTCACGCCGAAGACCCGGGTTCGAATCCCCACATGGTTACAATGTGTGAAGCCCATTTCTGGTGTCCCGCGCCGTGATGTTGCTGGAATATTGCTAAAAGCGGCGTAAAACCAAACTCAGTCAATCAGTCACACCCAGTGAGAACAACATGCCATATCGACGCGCGCCATAGCTTCAAAAACCCGGTTTTCACTAAGGCATTGTACGACGCTTAAAAGATAATCTAAACATGATTTACTTTAAAGTACACCAGCCTTTCTTTCAAGGATCATTATATTACTATTTTATGACTTAGGCAACATTGTGATAAAGTGCACATGTTAGATGTCTATACTATGTAATGATTCAGTGTTGGTCTGCGTTTGGCTGTGTGTTCTTTATCTCCCTTAAAAGAAAAGACGCTTGGTATTATTTGACAAATACAGCCATCACTGGTGATTTCATAGAAACCTATACTGACGTACAAAAGAAAGTATACACCTGGTGCTTTGGTAAAATGTGTTCCTGAAAACAGCGTAATAGTTAGAAAAGTGTTTTGATTGCGACTCACAAGTCACAAACATTGTGTACGTGTTGCAATAACACCATAGATATCGTACCCCATTGGAACATTGCTAGCACACTATTTACGTTGTTTTAATAGTCTCAAAACACCAGGTGTGTACTTTCTTTTGCACATTGATATATATACTCATGCCAATAATGGTTGTCACCCCCTTCAATTTTTTTAATTGAAGAAGGGGTGTGAGGTGTGTGTGGGGTTGGGGTGGGGAGTGGGTGATAACCATTATTGGCATGAGTATGCATGTATAAGGGAGATGAGTTTGGGGGACACACTTATAGGTCACTATAGAACAGACTGCACGACTCACATAGTGCAAGAGATATATTGCTCAAAAGAGGTTAAGCACCACGGGATTCTTTCATCTTTCTGTAATTAACCTCAGAGTAGTTTATGTACAGGGTTTACGGCTGTCTAATTTATTATCCCAGGGATTCTTATCATACGTTATTTGTGGTGCGTAGTGGTACAAGTGGAGAGTTTCACTTGATTCCAAAATATTTTCTGGAGCTCATGCCGTTACAGATGTTCAGAAGCCTTAACCCCATTACAGATGCGGAGTTTAATATAAGACTGGAGAAAGTTAACAATTAACATTCTGAACATTGAGCGTGTTTCTTACCACGATGGAAATGTCAGTTAAATGTGACTTGCAATCTACAAGTTTGAAAGAGTCTGATTGTTCAATTGGACGTGTATATTTAGCGATCCACGGAGATTCCAGCGCATTCTTTTTGTGTCCATTCTCCGAGTCTGTGCGTTGCGCATAAGTCGCATTAAATTGTGCGCGTAACACCCTAGGTGAGGGAGACCTCAGTCCCATGCCATATAGTTTTTAAAAAAACATCGATTTAAAGTATTTGATGAAACTAAAACTAATGTAGAATGATTATTTTATAAATGTATGTCTAGACACCTCTGTGGAATCAGCATCGTGAGAACACATTAGAGGAGAGATAAATATTGTGTGATAAAATATTTCATAGACAAAATGTTAGTCAACGGAAATATATATGTGTGGATACATTACTTTATGAACGGGCGATACAGCCTCCCGCTGTATTGATACAGGGACCGTTACAATAGTGACCTGCGCACTTCCTGCCTGGGTTGGACGGAAGTTGTAATATTACAATGAGGAAGATACGTTCAGTGGACGGGCACCTGACAAAATATAACGTTAAATTATGTAGGGAATATTTAATAAAACGTCCTTTGGTTCAGAACTTTCGGACATATAAAGGAAAGATTAAAACAGCTAGATTTAATATATTTCCGACATGAGGTAGTTGAGTGTATACAAATATCCTTAAGAAGAGTGTGAAAATGGTTTGCAAGCTATACACAGATGTACTGTATAATGTCGGGGAAATCTAAACACAAGTCCGACAAATGTATTAGGGGAATGAAATAAGAGTAGATATCAGTTCTGAGGAGGGTAAGCCGTTATCTAGACAGTCCCCCCGTTGCCCTCCTGGGGGATATGGCTGTGTACAGATGTCCGAAGGGGAGGGGGTAGAGAGAGGTATAGCGTTAGACAGGCAGTCGAGACCGCATGGCTTGTGTGAGAGGGAGCGGGGGAAGCGCTTGGTAGTAACGTCTAACGGTTGAGTCGGATCAACCCTGCGGCCAGCGGGCAGAAGTGTTTGTACAGTGATGGACTAGGATGGACGGGAGTCATTCACACTGACCAGGGGATGTCTGGCGTCTCAACGCGAATCACGTGGTTTTGGATGAGAAAACATTGAATATTTGAAAAAAGTGTAACAATGGGAGTTGGAGACCGGTTTGGATATTTGAAAAGATGGACAGGGTTTTTATCAATTTTTGTGTTGTGCTTGTGGGTTTGTCGGACTACGTCGTCGCCTGCCTGCGAGCCCGTGACGCTGTCCCACTGCGTCAACATCGTCAACACGACGCAGCTTCCCAACCTCTACGGTGACTACACTCAAGATGACGTTGACGTAAAGACGTCACGACTATTCCGGGTTCTAGGATCTCAGTGTCAAACGTTTAACCGTTTTCTCTGTGTGTTGTACCTGCCCCCGTGTCCCGACCCCCACCGACGCACCCCGGGGGTTCTACCCCTCCCCTGCAGACAGGTGTGTGAGGGGGCAAGGAAAGAGTGTAACGGTGTCATGGCTGACAACGGCATGAGGTGGCCCTATGAACTTCAGTGCCATAACTTCCCCACTGAGAACTGTGTTATTGTTCAGGGTAAGTGGTCTTCCGTACCAAACGTATGGTTCTCTTTCATGTCGTCTTTATTTCAGTATTATACAGCTACATGGCTAGGAATATATAACAACGATTTACGCCGTTGGGAGATCAAGAACACAGAGCCAAACACAGATCAACAATAAACCATTACACTGTACACACATCTAACATGTGCACTTTATCGTACTGTTGCCTTAGTCATAAAATGGTATAATGACCTTAGATAGAAGTTGCACTTGTACTATGAAGTAAATCATGATTCGATTATCGTAGTTTTATCCTGGGGCGAGGGGGTTCAGCATGATGGTTATAGTTGGTCGACATAAAGCAACTGACAGGAGTGATGATTTCCTGATTCTCTTTGTGTGAAAGTATCAGCTGTTATTATTTACGACTGGTGCCAGTCCGCTGTACATCAGCAGCATGAACGGTCCCAACGGCATTGTCGTATCTGATGCGCAGGCAATATTCCCTTAGGTTTCACAAAGGAGGGAAACGCACCAAGAACTGGCGCACATTAAGTTTGTATCCAATGAGTTTCAAGGCATTGTTTCCAGAATCAAACTGAGCTATACATACTTATTGTACTTGTATGTTCTATTGCGTGAACAATCCAAAAACATTATTTATTTCAAATTTATTAAATATTGTATTTGAATTTCGATTCTGTACCTAATGTCCCCACCTTTAGGGGTGTTAATGAGGGTTGAGTTGTATTCAGTCGAGCTGGTGGTGGTCTAAACTAAGGTAGACAAGTAGATGGTATGTTTTGGTTTTTCTTATATTTTTCGAAATACATCTGCAAACGAAATAGCCATACAGTAGTCTAGAGCAGTAGGCTGGGAGGGGGAAATACACGTGTTGGCACTGGTAGTTCTGACTACTCGCCAGTGCACGTGAGGGTGTTCTGGGCGGAGAGGACCCCCATCTGTTTATTTGCCTGCGGAAGTCTACTAAACGCCGCGGCAATCAGAACCCTTCCTATTTACTGGGGTGAACTCTTACAGACAAGGCCGTCATTACTTTGTCGTCATATATCAAATCCATCAGAAACTCTACTGATTTCAGCAACTTCCTCTCCATATGATGCATCAGTGTTTAAACAAAGGTCATATATTGCACGAACACGGCGTGTCTGGTATGGTTGCATTTCAAGAAAATGATGGACATTTTTTCTGCGTTAATAATGTTCAGTTTGGAAGTTCTGCCATGGAAGTATTTAGCTTTGTTGAAAGCACATAAATAACGAGCGCGGGAAAGCTTTTAAATATTATTAACTCGATTGGAATTTGCACATAAAACATTTCGTTATAATTGAAAACTGAACCCCGCTAGTTCATCCCTACCGCCTGTTTCAATAAAATGTATTATAGCATTTGTGGCATTTTTTAATGTGTTAAATATTATCCCGGTGTGTAACCGGGCACCTCCCCAAAATACCCCCACCCCACACAAACACACCTGACCCCCCAGTCAATAACATGTTCTTCATCCTTAACGCTTTATTCCTCCCACGGCACTTCACACTATCCCTACGAAACCAAGCACCACTGTCTTTTGAAAGTAACTTATCATTAACACTGTGGCATTTGGAGCAGGAAAGGCTAGAGGGTAATGGTTATTTTATATGATAAATATCTCGGACGTTTACTCCGCCCGTGCACAAATATTTATCTTGTGTTGTGCGTCATACAGCTGGAATCTCGCCACATATACATAAAATACTTTCACGGAATCAAATATATACACACACGGCTGGCGCGAGTAGATATCGACGATGCTGAGAGAAGCAGTTGCAAAGATGAATCATGTCTTCAAACCCAGACACATCGCTCATCTGAAAACGACATTTATCACTCTCACTCACTCACTCACTCTACAGCGTACTACCCCCAACTGACATCATACTTCCAAAATTGTGTTTTTTTGCTCAGCGCCGCAATACTCCAGTTATATGATGGACTTGACAATCCAGTGACTCAATATGAACATCAACATACGTAATTGTGGCAACTGCATCAACCAAGTCAGCGAGCCAGACTGCCCGACCTCGTTAGTCGCTGTTTACGAGAATCAGGAGTTGCTTAAGACCACTTTCAACTCGGATCTTATCAAATGTGTTCTATAAATCAGTTATAGAACAATATATGTGTTTCATATTACTATAGTTTGGCTGTCATGCAAGATAAACTATAGCACTTTGAAAATATCGGTTATTTTATTTTACATTTTTACATAGCATATATCACTAGTTCCTCTTCAATTTTCTCTTAAGTTACATAAAAATCATATATTTCAACACAGAGAGATGGATACTGAAATGGTTCGTCTGATCCAAACTCGACCCAGTCCCCACGATATAAATGGAGTTTGACAACTCAGCCTCAGATATAACCGTGTTTTCTGTGACTGTTCTGGTACAAGCCCCGTTAAGAAGGGGGGAATTCCGCGATCTGACAGCTGCACCCAGCGTATCCCCCTCGAGTTATGACTGCACTGCCTGGGTGCCAGTGTGTATTGCTACTGACAGGTCGGGGATTAAACATGTTGGGTATTGGGAGGGGAAGGAGGTATACACTGGCTGAACCATATATAACACGTCAGTACAACGGCCAAACTCCAGAATAAACTGTAGCAGATGAATGTACAATAAAGGGCTAGTCTGTCTCACAGTCTCTGAACTACATTATTTTCCCTATTGCTTAGCCGTCCCCACAATGCTAAAGTCCTAAATGAAGCAAGTCTAGATTTCCCCAGGTTCCAACTCACTGAAGCTCATTTTCAATTTTGAACGGGTTTATTTGTTACTATCAAAACTATATATATTCAGAGACTTAGTCTATAAGGATCAGTTTTTGTCCTCTTACAAAGAGCAAGAGCTCTTATCGTTAAAAATAACTTCTTTTCCCTTTTAAATTCAGCTACCTATGTACACTACACTACGGTTATAAGGAGCTCATAGGTACCGGCAAGTTTAGTTCGTTATAATAGAATTATGCGCATTGCGAGCAAAATAGAAAATACGGTGACGGAACCAAAATGCAGTCCGTCCTATCCACCACTTCGTCATATGCATAGCTCGATGTACTTCTATTCTGCAACGCCATAGGAATTCCAGGGCAAAATGGTCCCCGTCGGATCAGGGCCCACAGAACGATATCAGCGCTAAGACCGTCTGAAGTCTATGTTACGATGATCTTTGCGTATGAAGGCTCTGTGCATGTGTCCCAGATTGTCACAGTCTGGCTCTATATTTTATGCTGTACCCCGACTGCGGACATTGTCGTTCATGCTGTCAACCACTTCTCCCGAGTCGGCTAGGTACCTACCACCCTGACATAGCCGTGATGTTGGTGACTGCGGCATAAAACAACATTCCTCGCCTTAAGCCGCTATAAGACGCAGCCTAGCCCAATAGTTTCACAAAACGACATAGGGTCAAGATGATGGTATCATCCGTGCTTGGTCTCACACAGACCTACAGCAGCTGTAATGCGCTGAGATATTTCCATGTAACAGGGCCCATGTTATCACCCATGGTAGATAATAGCTGGCCTGGTGGTGATTATATTAACTGAACTGAAAGTAATTACACGAGTATCCATGGAAAAGTCAGTGAGTGGTGATTTACGCTACAGTAATTCACACAGATGTAATTAGAGATAGGAAAAGGGCAGCTTATTTCCAGGGCATAGATTTACAAATAAATGTCCGTGATAATCTTCTTATCTCCCTTTACTGTGATATGGAACTATCTGATATTACCTCCACTACTGGTTTCATTATGGAGTCATACCTCCGCCCTAGTCTGTCACACAGTCCCTGGACCATATTATTTTCGCTTTATCCCGTCCTTTATTGCAATATATACTATCTTCAAAAAAGAAACGCATAGGCCAGAAATCTGTTGCCAAAATGTTGTATTTTCAAACATGTATAACTCGTCCACAAATAGGCTTTAGTGCATGAATTTTTACACCAGTTTAGAAGAAGGTAATGTCTATACAACCAAGTGGATACTTTTAGATAATGGAGACGTTGAGCGCGATGGTGACGACGTAGCACGGTCCCGACGTCGGGTCTCCTGGCTCTCAGACTAATCTCTTTCAACCTGTCCCGAAGTCCAGGCACTCTGGCTGCTGTGCTCTAACCCGTGGCAGTACGATCACGCAAATGTAGTACCCGGATGTACTGACCATGGGCTACAGTGCTGACTCGAGGTCTGCCTGTATGGGGACGGTCATTTGTTATACCTGTTTGGTTGTAACGAGCTGCAAGTCGTGATATCGTGCTCAGACTAACATTCAGACGCCTGGCAACAGAAGATTGGTAATCTCCAGCGTGTATTCTTTCAATGGCAATGGTCCGTGTCGCAGAGTCAAGACGTGGCGCAGTGATTTGACCTTGAAACTTCAAAACGAATGCCAATTTCCGAAAGTAATCTGCAATTTTATTGCCAGACAGTGCATGCTCTTTGCTGCACAATTTCAAATGGGTGATTTCTGTTGCGTTGTGGCGATGCCTTTTTAATCCTTGTAAGAAATCTCATCGAAATCAACATTTTCAGGTAAAATCGATTTTTTACTTGTGCAATTGTGTAAAATCTTGTTATCAACATTATCGTTACGTATTTTGACGATTGTTTGAATACAATAGGTAATTAATAGATTTTTAAAAATACAGATCGCCTATGCGTTTCTTTTTTGGGATAGTATAGTTCTAAATGCAGCAAGTTCGAATCACACAGCCCACTGGTCCCTGATCCACATTATTTTCCCTACAGCCCTACCCGCGATGCCAGAAACCATATCTCGGTATTTGGTCCCTGGCAATGCTAAAGCCCTAACTGAAGCAAGTCTAGATTTCCCCAGGTTCTGAGAATGTCCTTGTCTGTCATACATACCCTGAAGCAAATACAATGTCATGTATATCCAAGAAAGCCCACGCAAGTCTAGAAAATGTGGCAAGTCTAGATTTCCACAGCTTCAGGAAGAAAG